AGGATATTTCCTGTAAAGCCTTCTAACTGCTGCATGTTTCTTCCTTATCCGCTATATTCTAGCCAAAATTGGAGGAAAAGAGAGAAAATAACAAGGCATTTTGTTGAACCGTTTGTTTTTGTCCGAACGTTTGATTTGCTGCTCGAAACGCCAATCATGATCACTTAATGCTTTATCTTGGCTATCTTTAATAATTAAAGAGACTTATACATTTGGAAGAAGATACACATTAAGTTTAGCTTTCTATTAGTCTAATTTGTTCAATTGAAAATAACTGATATAATGCTACAACCGAAATTATTTATGATTCTCGAGAAGCAGAATAAAGTATTTCAAAATTTTATCTGTTCTTCTAATCATCTGCTTTTACTTTGAAGAGCTCTGAAAAAGCCATAAACTTGCTTTCCGATAATTATTTAAACCTTATTTTTGCTTTAGTATTATAAACCGCTGAGCCCAGATGCTTTTTAAGTTTTTGCTCCTTTTATAATTCGACGTCATTTCAATGTTTCGTTTCACGTCAAAGGCTTTGCTAGCAATTGATTCTAAGCGCTGTTCTACGTACCCTCTAAGATGCAGAATTGCCTTGTATAACCTGTGCTTGAAAACTTCTTACCTCCACAAAGTAAGTGTGAAGAGCGACACTAATACCTTAAAGATAAGTTTTTAAAGTATAATTTACAATCTTTTTGTGAAATGCTTGACTGGTTTTAAAATTTTCATTACGCAAATTCTGCAGCCCTTCTTTGAGTAAAAACGTACCGACTTCTGAATTTGATTCTCTTCAGTTTCGCGATAAACACGGGATTTCCTTGAACGGTACTTTCATTTTATTGAACTGATTAATAATGTTAGCATCAATTGCTTCTAGACACATAATATTAGAAGAAAAAATATTAAAACACCTATTTCTTGTATTCATTCTCAGCTCTTTGCTTGCAATTTTTCTGATGCATGTTCTGAGACATTTCAACTAGACACTTTAAACTGAGGTTAATGCGGGTTTTCTCACTCAATGCAAATCAATATTATTTGTAAATAAATACCCCTAATATAATGTTTAAAACTAGACAAGAAAGAAGCTTTTTGTTTTGTTAAAGCTATCCCTCTGCAAACACCGTTATAATGTGATCACTTGTTTTGAAGCAACGTCCTAGAATTCTGATAAATTTC